GGGGGTGTGAGGTGTGTGTGGGGTTGGGGTGCGGAGGGGGGTGACAACCATTATTGACATGAGTATACTTAAAAGAGATTTCGTGTTGACGTCATTTAGTTTCGTTCTATTAAAATCTGAGTTTGGTTTTACGCCGCTTTTAGCAATATTTCACGGCGGGGAACACGCTTCATTGTACCCATGTTTCGTCTTCGGCGTGACGAGCCAACGCTTTAACCACTAGGCTACCCCACCGCCCCTCTATTTAAAATGAATACGTCAAACCTCTACAGTGGATCTTTCGGTGTTTGTATTTAAATATAAGACAAGACTGTGCAGAGTGAGAAAGAATGGTTTTATGCCACTCTTAGCTATATGCCAGTTCCATACATTGCCGAAATCCGTTCTGAAGATGTAATCAGTCAACAGCCGTGAACATGCATTGATGTATTCTGAAACAGCCGTTAGTGAAGGTGACCAAAAGTTGGTAGTTCATTTTATGCAAAGGCGTATAATTTATAATACATGAGTGAGTGGTTATTGGTTTGCGCCGCATCGTCCATCTTGCAGCTATTCACAAAGAGAGGTAATCATATATGTCCACCAATTGTCAAATTACGTCATGAAAGATAACAACATTTTCCTATACTCTATTCATCGTGATGATGTGCCACGCTATACTGCGTACCTCGAGACTCGCATCATGACATGCAACTTCACAGTCTTCTCAAAAACACTTTCCATAGCGATCTGGACTATAGAGGTTCAATATTCCCATCTGTGTGGACCTGGACCCAGCGTGGATTACATCCAACACCTGTTATAGTTATGAGAACGGAACGAGGAGAGTCAACAGTCTAAGTGACGAAATGCATCTCGAAGGGACGGGTCTTCTACACGACGGAAGCCCGTGGTATTATGTTATCATGACTTTATAGTAATGATCAGATTTAATAATCTAAACCAATATGTAATACCCGTTCAATATCAAGTGCAGGGTGGAATCCTCAAACTTCGGCACCATACGATAATACAGGAAGAACTTCTCCATAAAAATCTGAAATAAAACATTTCCTGGAAATATATAACTTAAATACTTTTGATTTCAACATGTATAATAACTTCTTCGATTTCATGTGACAAAACTTTTTTGAGTTTGATACAAAAATCCAGGCCCTGATTTCTCGAAACAAACTTAAGTCTGAGTTTTGACTTAAGTTAGAGTTTTTACTCAAATATGAGAAAACGCAGTAAAATGCATTCCCCAGGATGAACTGAAATCGATATTGAACTCAAACATAGTCGACAATTTGAGTTTGATGGATAGATTACTTGGGTTGTTTGGGCTTTTTTATTTTAAAAATGCAGTTGAGTTAAAAATTCAGCTGTTTCAATTGTCAAACTCAGTTTGAAATTTGAGGAAAAACTTAAGTTTGTTTCGAGAAATTGGGGCCAGAACTTATAAAGTGTACACCTAGGTATTTATATGAAGACAAAATTTCTAGAACATCATTATTTAGATATTTTAGATTTAGAATTGTTTTTACTTCAATCTTCCACCTTTAAACACAATAATCTTAAGTTTATCAACATTAATTTTCAGTCGCCAGTGGAACAATGATTTGTTAACTTATTAATTCGTATTGGCAACCAATTCACCGTCGTATTAAACATAACAATGTTGCCACCAAACAACAAGATGAATAAATCAAGTAACTCAATGTCAATACAACGCTGGTGATCAGTAATGGTGTGACGATTCATCGATACGCATCGATCCATGGGCCGCCTATACAGTGAATCGATACAATTGTTGTTTTGATCTATGATTTCGGTTTATAACTGTACTTTTTTATTTATTTTGTATTATATTTTATTTATTTTGTATTATATTTTATTTATTTTGTACTTGATGTTTAAAAAGTGCCTATTGTGACTTTTTCAAATTAAAGTTTCTTTCATTTAAACATTGTTTTTGTTTTGAAGTTAAGATGTTTAATAGTTGGTGTTAGAATTAAAGACTTTAGTATCGTGATACGTATCGTATCACCACCCTTATATCGGGATTCGTATCGTATCGCAGCTTTAGTGCACAATACCTTTGCAATATATCGTCATGACTAAAATATTCGTTTGGTGATGTATCGTATCGCAGGTTGTATGCCAATACCAGCACTAGTCATCAGCAGGTAGGAACGGAACAGTATCTTTGAAACAGAGAAGGAAACCAAGAATGTCAATACTTGGGATCCGTGTCGGCATGTATCTGACTTTTCGTCCCTTCTGCCTGCCGTCCGTTCTTTCCTGTTTATGATGTATACAGATCAGCATTACCCCCTGCCTGTCCTCGAACAGATTTTGGGCCACACAGATCACCATTGACCCCTGCCTTTCCCTGAACACATTCTGGGCAAAACAGATCACCATTACCCCCTGCCTGTCCCTGAACACATTCTGGGCAAAACAGATCACCATTACCCCCTGCCTGTTCCTGAAGAGATTCTGGGTCACACAGATCACCACTACCCCCTGCCTGTCCCTGAACACATTCTGGGCAAAACAGATCACCATTACCCCCTGCCTGTCCCCGAACAGATTCTGGGTCACACAGATCACCACTACCCCCTGCCTGTCCCCGAACAGATTCTGGGTCAAACAGATCACCATTACCCCCTGCCTGTCCCTGAACAGATTCTGGGGGCAAAACAGATTCTCACCATTACCCCCTGCCTGTCCCTGAAGAGATTCTGGGTCACACAGATCACCATTACCCCCTGCCTGTCCCCGAACAGATTCTGGGTCACACAGATCACCATTACCCCCTGCCTGTCCCCGAACAGATTCTGGGTCACACAGATCACCATTACCCCCTGCCTGTCCCCGAACCTTCACACAGATTCTGGGTCCACACAGATGGGTCAAACAGATCACCACTACCCCTGCCTGTCCCCGAACAGATTCTGGGCCACACAGATCACCATTACCCCCTGCCTGTCCCCGAACAGATTCTGGGTCACACAGATCACCACTACCCCCTGCCTGTCCCCGAACAGATTCTGGGTCACACAGATCACCATTACCCCTGCCTCTCCCCGAACAGATTCTGGGTCACACAGATCACCATTACCCCCTGCCTCTCCCCGAACAGATTCTGGGTCACACATATCACCATTACCCCTTGCTTGTCTCCGAAAAGATTCTGGGTCACACAGATCACCATTACCCCCTGCCTGTCCCCGAACAGATTCTGGGTCAAACAGATCACCATTACCCCCTGCCTGTCCCCGAACAGATTCTGGGTCACACAGATCACCATTACCCCCTGCCTGTCCCCGAACAGATTCTGGGTCAAACAGATCACCATTACCCCCTGCCTGTCCCTGAACAGATTCTGGGTCACACAGATCACCATTACCCCTTGCTTGTCTCCGAACAGATTCTGGATAAAACTGATCACCATTACCCATTGCCTGTCAGATTCCCGAACAGATTCTGGGTCACACATATCACCATTACCCCTGCCTGTCCCCGAACAGCTTCTGGGTCACACAGATCACCATTACCCCCTGCCTGTCCCCGAACAGCTTCTGGGTCACACATATCACCATTACCCCCTGCCTGTCCCCGAACAGATTCTGGGTCACACATATCACCATTACCCCTGCCTGCCTGAACCCCTGGGAACAGCTTCTGGGTCAAACAGATCACCATTACCCCTGCCTGTCCCCGAACAGATTCTGGGTCAAACAGATCACCATTACCCCTGCCTCTCCCCGAACAGATTCTGGGTCACACAGATCACCATTACCCCCCCCTGCCTCTGGGTCCCGAACAGATTCTGGGTCACAAACAGATCACCATTACCACCTGCCTCTCCCCGAACAGATTCTGGGTCAAACAGATCACCATTACCCCCTGCCTGTCCCCGAACAGATTCTGGGTCACACCTATCACCATTACCTCCTGCCTGTCCCTGAACTAATCCCGCGTAGCTGAGATCCACATGTTGTGTATTGTGCCCGGGGGATGTCGAACGTTGCTTCAACTATCTCCTGAACACAGCAAAAATATTCCTACTGAGAAGAGATACCATGTTCTTTTCATGGGACAGTGTGAAGTATATATGTTTTATCTTTTGTTTTGAGTTTAAATCAAATTCTGCACATTGATATAAAGTTTAGGTCAGATCACGAGCATGAAGTTGACCTCAAGGAGTGTATCTCTTGAATGTTCTGAGAAAAAAAAGATTGGTCTGTGCCCCATAGATGAAAACGTTGGACGACAGCCTGCTGGACACTCTTACTTGCTGACAACATCAGAGCAGTTCTATTCCTCGTCTTTGCTTCAGTGCTGCTTCTGACGGCTGTTGGTGAGTATTTGATACAACCTTCCTACAACCAGTGATAGACCCTTCCTACAACCAGCGATACAACCAGTGACACTGTCCAATTGACACTGGTATTCGGTAAAAACTAGAAACCTTAATTTCTCACAATGACCCATTCGTTCATTAACATATGTTAGTCGTATTGTGTAAGGTCAATATGTTGACTTGAACATTTCTTGCACAAAAGATACTTGATGTTCACCAAATTAAAACAGGCAAGGTACAGGCTCAGATAGATCATTCGGCAGAACATTGTGTGTGCCACTACCAAGGTAGTTTACTCTCATGACGACTCGCGCTTCAAGTCCCACGTCCGACACGGACCCTTTGTATAAGGTATTTACCATACTTCAAATACAGAACGTCTAACTTGTGTTGCCACACAGACCTATATCATACATGAACCCTTCAGTGTGTACTACATTGGCGGATCCAGAGGGGGGTTCATGATGTTCAGATTGGGGTTCACCGCCAAACCCACCCCACCCGCCGTTAAACTTTGAAAATGACTTAAGACCACATTGAAGATTTTGTTTTTGCGTTGGCGGAGTCAATTGGGGTTGAACCCCCTGAACCCCCCCTTTCAAAATTCCTGGATCCGCCCATGTACTGACGTCGATATACGGGGACTTTGTTGTGGGCGATTCGACCGTTGTGTGCAGGACCGGATCTGCGACATCGAGTGCCCCGGATGTAGGGGCAAGACTGATTGCCACCACGCCGGGTCATTAATCGGACACTGCGTTTGTTCGAGGTAACTTGGATCAAATAGTTAAAACTTGCTAACGTTAACGGCGCCATGTTGTTGGACACATCGAGGTAAACATTATAGCGGAAATCTCAAGATAAATAATATGCAATTGTGTTCACTTACAGGAACTATTTTCATATGCTTTATATGTCGATGCAATAAATTTTGAAAAATAACTACATGAATAGCGTACAATGTTCCCCAAGAGGTTTATAGTATATTATATTATATTATATTATATTATATTATATTATATTATATTATATTATATTATATTATATTATATTATATTATATTATATTATATTATATTATATTGCTGATAATAATTAAATGTATAAATGGAACATAAAATATGATCTAAACTGTACGCTAAAGGGCCCTATAATTCAAAATCACTAACATTCGATATTCGACACAAAACGTACCTTCTTTATAACACATAAATTGTGTCTCGATCATAAACAGTACGAAAAACATTACGAGCAATGTAGCTGGCACGATATCCGCCCCTGGCATTAAATTATTAACTCCCATACACAATCTGTTGGCAATCAGTTGACATTGTGAAGGAAATCTATCATGCAGAATAACGAAGCCTAAACCAGCGTCGATCCGTACTTAGAATATTGGAAAACAATTACACTCGCCTGTGTAACCATTCTCCGTTTGGTTAATGAAAATTTACCGGCAATAAACCGATTTAGAGCCATCATAAACTTCGCCTTGGTTGACCGTTCGAGGGTATCAGAATGTCATGATTAACTCGTTGAGATTGGACAGGAGCGCGATCTCTGGCCATACTCGCTACAACTCTACTTCCGTCTGCAATGTTACAGCCAAGAGAGACGATCAACGGTATTGTGATTGTCCGGAAAGTAACTTAGACAGAGGAATGACTCCTTCTTGTGTCTTTCGTCAAATATCGGTCCTTTGATTGGTTACATTGTTGAGAAGGGTGATGAGTGGTTCTATGTCCATTCATTAACAGGGAATTACGTTATAATATCCTAACTGTTAAAGGTATCATTCCTTTCTGCAGCACCAGGAAGGGCAGTGGGGTAGCCTAGTGGTTAAAGCGTTCGCTCGTTACGCCGAAGACGCGGGCTCGATTCTCCACGTGGGCACAATGTGTGGAGACCATTTGTGGTGTCCCCGCCTTGATATTGTTCGAATATTGCTTACAGTGGCGTAAAACGAAACTCACTCACTATCCAGCACCAGGATCTCGTCTGTGGTACAGTAGACAGAGTGTATTTCTGGAGAGCAAAACGCCAGTAGTGCGATCCCCAGGCCGCAAGACAATAACAGAGGTCAAAAGATGGTATTTGTTGTTAGCCTGGCTGAACCTGGGCGTGAAGCAAGAGTTGGTCTGCGCGGAGTCAGTATATTGTGGGACATCCAGTGTTACAGTGCCGTATGGTATGGTATGCTCAGTCTATTGTCTGTTTGAATAAAAATAATACCAATAATTAATTTTATTTTTTTAACTTTAATTCGAAAATGATCAGTATCATACATTTGAACATATTAGGTTTAACTGCCTTAATTTATTAACAATTTATTTTTAAATATCTAAATGTTTTTGTCGACCAAGTCAACAATGTGGCATTATGATTATAGAATAACATATATAATTCATCCTAATGACCAATCTCTTCAGGACATAGTACAATAGTACATTGGTCAACAGTTCTCGAATACTCATCGACCTTCAACGTCATTGCACTGCAATTAACTGTTAATTAGTATATGATACACTGGCTAGAATTATATCTATATAGTCAATATTGTCTAACAACAGTAGGAGGCTCTTTATTATATTTGGAGCACAATCGACGACGTGAAATGACAACATATACATGCATGCCTTGGCTTAATGTGGAGAAATGTAGTTTCCGTGAAACAAACGTTCCTATATTTCTTTTTCAAAATTCCATGTTTATATCCTTTGTTTTGAATTGAACGTTCCTGGGATTTAAGTGGAATAGTTGGCTTTTAAAAACTCACATCATGATAATTGATGTTTAGCTTCAACAAAAGCATTATCTCCCATCTTGTAAAAGAAGGGTCAGAGCGTTACAGCAAATTCAACTCATAGGCATTTATCAGACTAGAATTTCAGCCGCTTGGGATGGTCTGCAATACTAATCAAATATTTTACGATTCATGTGATTTCAATCTCAGGAGAATACAATAATTGATCAGAATTCTTGACCACAACAAGTATCAGAGATGTCAGTCTCCAGCAAGGGAGATACTCTTGGTCCTGTCAAGATAATCTGTACGAGACTGATATGGAAATCACTGAAGTGGGTTTGTCATTTTCGGCCCTGAGGACTGTTTGATCCTTATTGCCAAGACTGCTGCCCATGGTGTGTGCATGTGTAGCTACAAGTAGTGATATGGAATATTGCGGTTCAGTGTCGTAAAGATGGTTTGTGACTAATGAGGTATCATTCCAAAGGATAATATGACAAAGGTCTGGTAGGATAATACACCGGACCCGTGATGATCCGGGTTACAATTGGACTTCAGCAACCCATGCTTGTCGTAATGGGCGACTAACGAGATCGCGGGATCAGGACACTTGGGTGGCATATGTCAATGTAGCCCAACTGCGATGATTGATGTTCATCATGTTGATTACTGGATTGGCTGTTATTTACAGACCGCCAAATATGACTGGAATTTTGGTGAATGCGCCGTTAAACAACAAGCAAATAAACAAACATGCGCGTCTCCTGTTTACCAGCGTCCTCTGGTGGTATTCACTATATGGGTATACCACACGAAGCCCCTGTCATGCAGGAATATTGCTAATTTCAAACTCTACTCATCTACTTCATAATACAATTTGCCCATTTAAAAGATTAATAAACACTTTAGGTATCAAAATACTTGGCAGTTCAAAGCTTCAACGGCAAAGAATGATCAGTTTTGATTACCTGTCGAAACACATTCCACAGGGAATATTATACGAACATGACAAATCAGAAATGAAAAAATGAATTAATTTTGCATCGATTCAGCCGTCACACACACCATCCGCATAAAGACACGGCTGTCTCTAATAGCTGAACAGAACAGAAGTATGACATTATTTGACACACAGACCTCACCCACATACATACTTAATTTGATAAATAATGTCTCTCCACAAGTAGGCCACAACTAGGCAGTAGGTCGAAACTTGGCCAAGCTGCATTCCGCATGTGATAAAGCGACACCAGTGTTACTCTCATTACTGCAGTAAACTAAATGTCATGTATTTCAGATTCGAAATATATATACAGGTGAACCACAAAGAACATGTTAAGACATTTAAGGACGATTAAACTAAATATGACATGTTATGGACAATTAAAAGAATTAAACATATACAAATATACTTATTTAGCCGTCAAAATATGTTTCCCCTCTTTTTCAAAACTTGAAAATCCCTGCAGGATATAAATAGAAATATGGCTGTAATAAATAACCGAATACAATATGGCATGGTATACTAAGTGTAGCAGAATGTTCTGAAACTACTGCCTGTATTTTTTATTCAGTAACCCATAAGGCCATTATGCATTTACCAACATGTGCCATTGACGCTTCAGAAAACTAAAATAAATAGACCACGGATGCATGGTCGACATGGAACTTAATTGAAATTCACCACATATACTGATTAAGACAACAAAGTTACAATCATGATTAACAATCATGATCATCAACTTTATCGTCATCATCTTCATCATAATATGTTCTTTAAAGATCCTTTCGAAAAACTGGGTATCAACAAGCATTGAATTCCAAAATTTATCATTTAAAGTATCAGCTTAAAGGACTCTCTAGTTTGTATTTTGTCCGCTCCCAATGGTTTCAGTAAGTGAATCTGACTACGCTGTAGCCATGTTCATCACAGTTTCATCACAGTAATTGGCAATGCTCATTCTTGTCCAGATACGTCACTGCAGGAAAGTATTCCTTTGAGGAAAGCATACACTCTGTATTCACACATAGCAACCCAGTGTGATATGGGGACAATCATAGTCAACTGCCCATCACGGGATTCTAGGTATCTGCTCTGCTCTGGAATCACCCAGATGTAGTCTTTGCAGTCACGGCTTTGCTCAGTCGGACGAGATGACCAGCAGTGTTATCCAATTCCAGGTTCAGAGGTAAAAGTCAACACACATAAAACGACCAACAGTATTGGCTGAGAACAACCACGTTATGCGAAGTGTATGTTCAGATATATATGTGTTTTCATGACAAAATTAACTTGAATGGTTTCAATAAATTCATTCTGTTATATATGTGAACATAGATTGCGCTTCACCTGACAGATCACTATGAAACTTGACGGGGGAGAATAGTAACATAATAAATCTCTGCTTGTTAGTTGCTATGATCTTTTCTTCTGGTTTCTTGCTTATGCCTGTGACCACAGAACGAATATTCAATGGTACAGTGTGTACATGGACTTGTTTTTACTGCATGCTGAAATCACACAACACCAAACACAATCTTCTGATAACATTATTTTCACGTGGACATTCAATATTGTGTTCAAAGCAGCCTCGTCGTAAGTCTGTATTAAGTCACAGAAGTTACGATCACCTTAGCGGTAAGATTTGAACAACGGCACCTTGAATTGTTCCACGCACACGAAATTGTAGATTATTGGTCATGATGAACACATGTGATATTATCAGAATAAAGCAGTGTGCTTATAACTATCCATGCACGTTAAAGTTAAGTCATAACCCATCTGTTATGCCCAATGTCAGTAGGTGAGTTTGATCAGTATATTTTCAGTGACCTACGTCAACCGTGGTTACCATGTTTTAGTCAATCAGGGCTGACTGGAGTTGAGGGGCGGTGGGGTAGCCTAGTGGTTTTAGCATTCGCTCGTCTCGTCGAAGACAGGGTTCGATTCTCCAGATGGGTACAATGTGTGAAGTCCATTTTTGGCGTCACTCGCCATGATGTTGCTGGAATATTGCTAAAAGCGGCGTAAAACCTCACTCACTCATTAGAGTTGACTTGAGTTGACCAGGATTTATAAATGAGAACTTATGGCAGAACGCAAAAGATAACACATAAAATGCAACCTTACAATGATAGTGTCTGGAGAAGAAACACAACGGCAATATATACTTGACGTTATTAAAAGAGCATTGTGCGTAAGTATTACTGTCAGTCATGATCCATCTGTGATACCCGCTGTCTGTGTGATATGGACCGACGTCGCCATACAATGCCATCCAAATACCTCCAAACATAAAGACTGAGCAACCTCATCCAGTGAAATCTGCACGCCATCTTGATCTCTGGTGATTTATGCGTCTGAACCACGACTCTGAACTAGCATGCTGGTTGTTCAATATCCTGTCATATATATCATAAAATTGCGGAACGTTTGTAAGATGTTAATGTGAGCGTCCGGAGCCAGAAGGCGGTCAGATTTACCTGCCAGTAACGCCGAGTTGGTCCGAGTCGTCTGCCGAAATCTGAGAACGGATCTTAGGAAAGGTTATGGGAGCAGACGACTGAGAAGCAGACTTGCCGGAAGTAGCGGTACTAAACTCAGGGTCAGCGGAATACCCGCCAGACTTATCCTTATCTGAGATGGAAATAACCCACAGGATAAAGCATTCATCTTCTCCGTGTGACTGATATAAGTCAGGGGGTAACTAACCGAGGTTTTTAATCTGTTGCTCAAACACAATAATTAATAGCGTCTTTGAAATATTTAACATTTCGCTCCAACAAGTTGAATGTAAATGGGGAATGTGTATATAGATGTGCGTCTAGACAAGGACAAATATGTTGAATGGTTATGGTGTTTACCAGGGCTGAACAGGAGTCGGTCTCAACACAGATCACTTTACTGACTAAATTGCTGGCAGTCATGAAGGTCACTCTGTAATATGTCAACAGTATGTCAAATCTGGCATTTCATTTATAGACATCCCTTTTAGACACTGTTAGTTTTCATGAGCAAAGAATCAATGGATGCGCAGAGCTCCTGGTAGCGGTTTCTAGAACATTACACTTGAGATGCCAACATTTTGATGACCAGACTCATTCCTTCGTTTAATGTCCCTTGTAATTACAGCTGCAATTTACTAATATAAATGTAAAACAGATACCACTGACTTTGCAGTATATCAAACAAGAGCGACAACATCATTTCCATAATCATAAGAAATGTATGCTAAAGGCCACGTCCATTGTACGATTCCATCTGTATCATAATCACGTTTTCACGAATCACTACCAAATAGTGATGATACCAGGTGTTCGGGAAAGTTGTCAATAACTTCTTACTTTTTTCTAATTTAACATTACACATGATTCCACATCTGAGATGCAATACTTAAGCCGCGAATTCCCTATGATTGTGTTTCCAGTGTGTGGTAGACTCTCATTGCTACTTCAGTGGACATGAATGCTTTCATCATTACGTGTATGTAACTGATACAAGATGTGATGTGAAATAGCGACACACAGTTCTCTATCCGGACCTGTCTCCTAAGAGCGTCAAGTGATCCATGAAATCACTCGTATTGCCTTGCATAAGTCGACACCATTTACACAGAGGAGTGGGAATACAAAACAACATATTACATTCTGCTTACCTTACACGACGATTGTCGACGCTATCGGTAATAAAATAGTGATGTATGGTGTGTTCCAAGGCCGACATTCGAACCTCCTTGGAGACTCTCGCTCAAGCAGGGCTTGACAACTGTGATGGAAACTGTATCGAATAATTTTTCCATTACTAATGTCATTCTCCTATCAAAACGTCGCTCTCCTATCGCTTTTGTGGCATTGATTCCGGTAACCCTTACATCAAATGCCAATCACTGCTTGATATATGCGTTACTCCATATCCTATTCAGTCAGGATTTTGCAGAATTTCAAAAGAACGACCTTGGCTTGAAGATAAAGCTCATACCCTGAAGAAATTCTTCCCAAATATTGTGATACAGGAGAACATTTATGGTGCAAGAGATTAGGTGATTTTGTCGTTTATCTACTCAACTACAGCAGAGAGAAGCATTTAATCGTCTTCATCTCTTTCCTGTAAATGACACGAATGCAATAGGACCTTTAGATGATGATGAAGAAGGTAGAGGGAGCTCGGGGGGTAATTGCCATGACGCTTTGATTGACTCCTTCATCGATTCATATCCACGCGAGCCAACCTCTTGCTGTATTCTGAAGTGAGTATGAACAAAGGTTGGGGCAGCTTCTTTGAATTCAGTCCCGACCTTTTCCAAATCGTTACCGTGAGGTCCTTCTGGATTTTATCTTCTTTATTACAGTTGCGAGATATACGATATTTACACTGAAATAAACACAATTCTTTATTATCTTCCACTCCAGCGATGTTATCAGGGGTTAAACAAACGAACTGTTCCCCTTTGCGTCAATTGCCTTCCATGTACTCTCCTCACATATCAAAAGAAGGAAATCACAAGCGTATTTAACGATGAGGAATGAGCTTAAACATGTTCCCTTTGGCGTTCACAGACTGTCAATATCGAATTGGCGAAGGATAAACACCCAAACGTCTTTAGTCGTTTTGTTCGTGCTTCCGTCCATTATGCATTCAAGTCCATGCCTATTGGGTTGCTCAGAACGTATACAAAGTGTACGCTAATAATATGACAATAGTCATCTCATCAGTAAGGGTATGGGAGTTGGTCAGTTATTTCAGATACGTTGTGTAAACGACATTGTTTAATTAGGTATAATTGATATTAATGCAATAAACAGACATGCGAAGTTACAAACTGATTCGACCGTCAAAACACAGTCAGGTAACCCTCAGCTATTCCAATATGAAGATATGGAATATGTTTTGCTTATGTATACAATACAAATTAGCAAATAAAAAATCGATAGCGATGATAGTTAGTCCAGTTCCGCATACTATTTTGGTCGTTCAAGCATCTTCATGGCACATGTAGTATTTAGTTTTTGTTTGAAATTTTATTCAGATAAAAATCAAAGTATTATTTGCTGGTATTATTTAAGGGAATGCAAAACCCATTAGGAATTGGTGTTTTTCAGGTTTAACGTTTGTGTATTGCAATTGTAGCGCTGTTCTATTTACCATTGATTTTGCCGCTTTTATTTCGAGCAACGATAATGGAATTCTAGGAAGATAACTAGCAGGGACATAAGCATAGTCTCTTGGGTGTGTGTCTCCATCTGATAATATTCTGGCAAATTTCCACGAAACTTAAAACAGGAAATGACAAACTATGACAGTGACCTGAGCTGTATCTGTTTCTGTTCTCCAGATTAAAGTTAGTTTTTGTTACAACCAAGTGTCACTTATTTCAAAGATTAAGGCTACTGTCAAACTGAAGGTCATTCAGACATCAAAAACGATAAAAGAAGATTATTGGAATTTGAATTTCATTTTAAGAAAAACGCATAATACATGTCTTATCTCGTGTTCCAATTAAGAATGTCCTTTTACAGAGGTATCAAAACCATTATTCCAGTAACAGTTTCTAGAATTCTCAACGTTCGTTGCATTGCAAAAACATGAGCGTGGTTAGTCCGCACAAAGACACGCAAGGGCTTATGCCTTCCATGAAACGTTTTGAAAGCAGAAAAACCTTAAATGTATAAAACCGGTCAGCGGTCAGATAACTTCATGTAACATCTGTACAAGTAAAGGTACATGTATGATCTAATGGATGATCAGAAGTTGTGCAATGTCGAAAACAGATGAACTGAGTTTACTGTTCAGCTAAGACAGGTAAATTAGTGGAATGGAAATTGGTATTTTCCATTACTGAACGATATGAACTAACGGATATTTCTGAAGCGAAAGTTACATTTCTTGGCCAAATTCCAGTGTAAAATTGTTCCGACACAAGCAGAAATACTGATTCCAATGCATGACATTATTTTCAATGTAGCACTGTAGATGTAAAGCACGATTTGCATATATATTTAAATTTTGTTATTTCCTTTTTTCCCAAATTTCAATTTGCATTTTCATCACTTTAGTTTCGAATAAGCCCTAGTTTGTAAAACATATGATATATGTACACGTACATTGTATGTTAAGGGTAAAATAAAGTGTGTCTTACTTGTGGCATAGGGCTAACTAGCCCTTACCATTTCTAATTACTGGTACCTTTAAACAAGA